AGAGTAATTATTGTTTCCCTTAATAATAAGACTTGGAAAGGAGAGAGGTGTTAACTGTGGACTTGAGCTGTGATTTTCTACTAGAATTGTCATGAGGAAGAGGAAAGGGTGATTAATATTGTATATCCTGGAGGGAAGGTGTGTATAAGTTGAAGCCTGTATGAAGAATGTAATGACAGAGTGTGAACTTAATGCCCGTAAGCTAAGAATTATTTATTGTGAAACAGTTTTTAAAAGAAGAAAAAAAAACCCACACTGTACCTTAGGGGTAAAATCCATTCAGAGTTGAATTTCTGGTGATTCCAGCAAAAAGCTTAGATCTGTGCTTCTGATCATTTGCATATCTACTCAGAAGTAAGCCCTGTTGAGTGCAGTCCTGGCTAAAGAATTTCAGCCCTGGTCTTCTGCTGAGAATAAGCCCTGCAGGTCTAGACTGACATTGGCTAGCCAAATTCCAAAATGGGGATGTGAATGAGATTCAAAGTGTTTAACTTCAGCTAGATTGTGTTCTTGATCTTTCTGTTTTCTTTCTTTTCCTCCTTTGTTTCTTTTCATTTTAAATTTCTTTTTTAATGGCAATTTCTCCAATAGTATGATCCTAAAACTTTGAAAGACATGCACTTTCAAAGAGGGAGAGTAATTATAGATTGTAACTCCATACACATTTACCTGATGCTCATCTTCATTGGATACAGGAAGATTTACCTCTAAATAAAAGTATAAAGGAATGTACTGTACTGGTGGAGTCTTTCTCCTACCTCTTGTATAATAAATATTTGAAGCTTTAAGCAAAATGATTTTTTTCATCCTGTACATTTGTTAATATGTGATGAGACTATGATGTATATATCCTGATTTAGTAATCGTATTTTTAGTAACACAGTAATTTTAGTAATGACTATTCACAGAAAATCATAGAATAATGGAGTTGGAAGGGGCCTATAAGGTCATCTGGAGGGATGTGGTGGTGCTGTGGGTTAAACCGTTGAAGCCTCTGTACTGCAAGGTCAGAAGACCTGCACACGACGGTGGGAAGGTGAATGGCGTTCCGTGTTTAGTCACGCTCACCACGTGACCATGGAGGATTGTCTCTGGGCAAACACTAGCTCTATGGGTTGGAAACGGAGATGAGCACCGCCACCTAGAGTCGGACACGACTGGACAAATTGTCAAGGGGAACCTTTTACCTATAAGGTCATCAGGTCCAACCTGCTGCTCTATGCAGGAATCCAAATCAAAGTATTCTACAGACAGTTGTTTAATTTTTGCTTAATTTGCCTCCACTGTTGGAGCACCCATCACCTCTTGAGGTAATTAGTTCCATTGTTGTACTGCTGTAACAGATAGGAAGCTTTTCCTGATATTCAACTGAAATCTGGCTTCATATAATGTGAGTCCATTACTACGTGTCCTGCACTGTGAGATGACTAAAAACAAATCATGCCTCCTGCCCCATATAACAGTCTTTCAAGTACTGAAGAGTGCTGTCATATTTCCCTTCAATCTTCTTGCATCATTTAGTTTGTTTCTTCACTTTTCGTAGGATAAAATTATCAACCACACAAACCAGGAATTTCTTGAGAGGGCCATAATTGGCAGAATTTGCCTCCCCACAAATATCAGAATAGCTGAAATCTCTCATTACTACTATGTTGCATCTCTTTAATTTTTTTCTTTCTTTTTTATTGGGCAATTGGTAGTAGATTCCAACTACCATTTTCTTTTTCTCTTTTGCCTCAATTAATTTAATCCAGATGCTATTTAATTCATCTCACCAAGTTTCAGTTATCCCTATCAAATCATATTTACTCTCCTGACCTATGATTTCCAGTTCTTGTTTGTTCCTCATACTCCTACCATTTGTATAGAGGCACCAGAGATTGTGTGATTTGTGGCCTGCCTTTTCTATATTTTAATGAAGACTATTATTGGGCCTTATTAGAGCTGCTCGGTCTGGTCTTCCTAGTGTCATAAGCCTTCATCTGTCTTTTCCTCTGAGTTTGCATCTCCATCTCCTTTCAAATTCAGTTGAAAGGCTTCCTAATGAAATTCTTCATGCTGTGGACAAATGCATGCTTTCCAGTCCTTGCGAGGTGCAACCCATCATTTGCCAGTAGTCCATCTTCCAGGAAGTGTAACCCATGTTCCCAAAATCCAAATCTCTCATGTCAGCACCACCTTCATACCCAGCTGAGCATCTGGAATATTTTTTTTACCTTTCTGTTCCTCTTCTGAGTACTGGTAAGATGGATGAGAACATTATCTGGACCCTCAAATCCTTGAGATTCGTTCCCAGAGCTTCAATATCTGATGTGATTTTTTTTTCATGTCTGTATCCTTTTTTGCCACATGGATGAAAGGAAAGGACTGTGCATCCATGGGTTTTATGGCAATTCCTCTGTCACATTTCTGATCCATCCTCCAGGGAGACAGCATACCTGGCAAGTCCACAGTTCTTCCTGGCATATTTCAGTCCCATGCAGTAGGCATTTCTTATTGCAACTCCTCTTCTTTTTTTTAGGGTGTGGGTTTAGTGACTCTTCTTGATGGACACTCACATGTCCTCCTGTGGGGTCTCCTATATGTTCTCCTCTGTATGATGTCTACCAGATTCTTCTTCAAGAATCTGAAATCCGTTTTGCAGTTCTACTCGTGAGGAGTGTCTTCTCCTTCTTTTGCTCCTTCCGTTTTGCAGTTCTACTGGTGAGGAGTGTCTTCTTCTTTTGCTCCTAAGTGGGGCCCCTTTCCCATTGTGCTTCCTCCACTCTGATTGTTCTCTAGTAATTTCCTTCTCTGCTTTGTCTTTACTAATCTTCCACCTCCAGTAGCTCTCTTGGCTGCTGCTGCTGGTGTTTGAGAGTTCTGTCTGTGCCTTAACTGTGTCCACACGCTGCTCTAGTTCTCTCACTTTTTCTTCCAACAGTGCTGCTAGATTGCATTGGTTGCATGTATATGCAAAGGACAAACACCGTACACACTTTGCAGGTCATCACCACTGAAGCGTGTCCTCCCTCTATGATCCCTGTTACCTTTTTATTTTCTTTTGTTTTACTACAGGTGCCTTTTCCTTTGTCTTGTTTGTCTTGAAAAATGCTGGGAAAGTCCAGTAATATATAACTCTCTGTCTTTGTCTTCTTTTGTCTTTTCTTCCACTAGACCCTTTCATTACTTCTGTTCACACTTGTTGCAGCACAGCCTTGATAATTGCTTTGCATTTGGGAGAGAAGTAAACTGATAAAAAAGAAGTCAGCTTCTGGAATTTTGTGTGGTGTCACTTCATGAATAATAGTGAGTGCAAGAGGGTATCCTCTGGACCATCTTGACTTCTTCCATTGATGTTGTCATCATTCAGGCTGCTCTTTGCTATGTAAAGCTAGGCATCCTTTTTCCTGCTGGCAATGTGAGCAAGATATTGTGCAGCAGTATCAGACCATTTTTGGCTTTTTGCAGCACAACATCCCACATTCATAAACCAGAAGGGTTTTTTTTCCTTTCCTTTCCTTTTTGTTTTTTAAGAATTTGATTTTTCAAGAGGAAAGTAAAATAATTCCAAATGCCATATCGTGGAGATAAAATAATATTTGAAATGTTCCCAGCCTTTTATTCAGGCCTTTGGCATGGGTGCTGAATAGTTAGACTGATCCATTTCTGCCTAACCTGGATGTTAAACATGTATTCTTCCTTCCCTTATAGGCATAGACACAAGATTACTCCTTGCGGGCATACATCACACTCTGCCCTGGTTACAGATACAGTAACAGATTTCGATATCCAGTGACATTGTTTGTGAGTCAGAAGGCTCTCCTTGCAGATCTTGCAGTGTTGCCATAGAGTTTCCATCACAACACATTGTTGCCTGAAATCACATCCTGGTTATCTTGCATTCAGGTGGAGCAAAATGACAAGAGTTTACTTAATCAGAAAAGGAGGCTTTGGATGCCTTGACCCATGTGCTCTCTTCAGATAAGCCACTGATATGTGAATGCATACATTGTGATCTGCTGGCAGTTGAGTGTGTGTTTGCTTTAGATTGAACTGCCTTTTGCTTGGTTGTGCGCAGGTGTGGGGCATGAAACAGAAAAATATTGTGCAGTTTAAAGTCTTTCAGTGCAACAGTATTCCATAAATGTCAGTGGTTCTCAATATGTATGAATGTTTGATGGGGAGAGCCAATAAGTGAATTTTAAGCTGCTACTAATGTACATTGAATTGGCCAAGAACAGCACTCATTGCTGGAGCAAGTGCTATATTTAGGACTAGCATTAGGAACATTTATTAGGCACTGAAATCATTAATATAATTGATAATATTTTTAAACAGCATTTCTACTTGTTACCACAGTCCTTTGAAAACACACTCTTTGCTGAAACTCTTGCGAGTATGAATTTTTTTGGGGTAGAGAGGCTGCTCCCCACCCCTCCATTTGTAGTAAATTCAACACTCTTAGGAGAATGGAATATGCTTCTGCCAGAGCAAAGACAAAATGCTTGATTTTGCTTTGTTCTTTTGTCTCATTGCATGGTTTGGGACAAATGTAATTCCCTTATCCTTGGATTTATGCATTTACTTTTTTTTTTTTTAAGAAAATGTATGCTGTACACCGTCCTTCAGCCATGCTTCTGAGATGGTATTGTTTGGGTGGGATCACTGTTTCACCCTTTTTAGGTTGTTCCAGTACATGCAGAGAATTGTACACACTTGGACCTTTGTTGTGGCTACAAGTATTGCATGATGATGTCACAGTATGGGGCACTTAGAAGTCCAGTGCAGCTGCAGGAGTGATCTGCATGCTCTGTCTAGAATTCAAGTACTGTAGGAAGAAAGACTGGGGTTTCCATTGATGCTGTTTTTGTTGGTGCTTTGGACTCTTCACAAACCAAGTGCAAACTAGTATGTGACTGTTTAAAATTCATGAGAGGACTCTCAATGATTTGAGACAGACAATACTTTAAGGAATATTTTAAAAAAGGTCCCTGATTAATATTCCTTTTTTGTTTCAGGTTTTTGGATATTGCTTCCATGGAGAGCCATTTGACCATGTTGCTGCTGTTCTTGGTGCTGCTTGTGCAGCATTTTGGAAACTGTGAAGGAGATCTGAGGCAGGATCACACCTTACCAATGCAGTTCACTCAAGCTCATTACAACGCCACCATATATGAAAACTCAGCAGCTAAGACTTACGTTGGACATCCAGTCAAAATGGGCATTTATATCAAAAACTTCCTGTGGGATATAAAATACAAAATCATTTCTGGGGACAGTGAGAATTTGTTCAAAGCTGAAGAGCATATTTTGGGAGACTTTTGTTTTTTACGAATACGGACTAAGGGAGGGAATACAGCTATACTTAACCGGGAAGTGAAAGACCATTATGTATTAACTGTTAAAGCAATAGAGAAGAATACAAATGAAGAAGCTCGAACAAGAGTTAGGGTGCAAGTATTGGATACAAATGACTTACGGCCTTTGTTTTCTCCAACATCTTACAGTGTTTCATTGCCCGAGAATACAGCAATAAGGACCAGTGTTGCACGAGTAAGTGCAACTGATGCAGATATCGGAACCAATGGGGAGTTTTATTACAGTTTTAAGGAGAGGACAGATATGTTTGCTATACATCCGACAAGTGGTGTGGTGGTTTTGACTGGCAGACTGGACTACTCAGAAACTAAAGTTTACGAGATGGAAATCCTGGCTGTGGATCGTGGAATGAAGTTGTATGGCAGTAGCGGTATCAGTAGTATGGCGAGGTTGACTGTTCACATAGAGCAGGCTAATGAACATGCTCCAGTGATCACAGCCCTTGCTTTGGCTCCTTCTGAGCTGGAGAAGGATGCAACCTATGCAATCATAACTGTTGAGGATAGGGATCAGGGATCCAATGGAGAAGTGGCATCACTAAGCATTGTGGCCGGTGATCCACTGCAGCAATTCAAAGCTGTGAGGACTTTCCCTGGGGGTAAAGAATATAAAATTAAAGCTGTTGGTAGTATTGATTGGGAAGGCCAACCGTTTGGCTATAATCTTACTCTGCAAGCTAAAGATAAAGGAAATCCTCCAAAGTTTTCTTCTCTCAAGGTAATTCATGTAGCATCTCCCCAATTCAGGTTTGGACCAGTCCAATTTGAAAGAGACATTTATAAAGCAGAAATAAGTGAGTTTGCTGTACCAAACACCCCAGTGATTATGGTGAAAACTTTGCCTGCCTATCCCCACTTAAAATATGTATTTAAAAATGCACCGAGCAAAATCAGATTCAACTTGAATCCTCACACTGGTCTTATTACTACTCTAGATCCCATAAAAGCACAACACGCACCAAATTTAGAATTTGATATCATGACAAGTGACGGGAAAGCATCTACAAAAGTACTCATCAAAGTCATAGATGAGAATACTCATTCTCCTGAGTTTACACAGACATCATATCAAGCATCGTTTGATGAGAATGTTCCTATAGGTACCAGTGTCATGACAGTGAATGCAAAAGATGTAGATGCAGGAGAAAATGGCTATGTAACATACAGTATTGCAAACATAAGCCCTGTTCCTTTTGTGATAAACCACTTCACTGGTGTTATCAGTACCTCTGAAAACATGGATTATGAGTTGATGCCAAGAGTCTATAAACTAAAAGTTCGAGCTTCTGACTGGGGCACACCATATCGCCGAGAAGTTGAAGCCCCTGTTACTATAGTTTTAAATAATTTGAATGATAACACCCCACTGTTTGAGAAAATAAATTGTGAGGGAACAGTTCCCAGAGAACTTAGTGTCGGAGAACAAATAACAACTGTGTCTGCTATTGATGCCGATGAGCTCCGGTTGGTGCAATACCAAGTTGAGTCTGGGAATGAATTAGGTTTATTTCTTTTAAATCCAAACTCTGGGGTTCTGTCTCTGAAACAGTCATTAGGAGATGGCCTAGGTGCAAAGACATCCTTCCACAGCTTGAAAATAACTGCTACAGATGGAGAACATTTTGCCACACCTTTATATATTAACATGACTGTAGTTGCCAGCCGCAAGCCAGTAAGCTTGCATTGTGAAGAGACTGGGGTAGCAAAAATGCTGGCAGAAAAACTCCTGCAGGCAAACAAGCTGCATGGACGTAGTGAAACTGAAGATGCTTTTTTTGACACTCACTCTGTGAATCTGCATGCACCTCATTTTGGAACTAATCTTCCCAGTAGCATAGAAATAAAAGAAAATCAGCCTGTAGGTTCCGACATCATATTTATGAATGCTACTGATCACGACACCGGCTTCAATGGAAAGCTGGTGTATGCTATCTCTGGAGGCAATAATGATAGCAGTTTCATGATTGGTATGGAAACAGGAATGCTAAAAATTTTATCTCCCCTTGACCGAGAATTAAAAGATAAATATACATTGAATATCACGGTTTATGACCTTGGCATACCGCAGAAGTCTGGCTGGCGCCTTTTAGATGTCAGAGTTCTAGATGCCAATGACAATTCCCCAGAATTTTTACAGGAGAGCTATTTTGTTGATGTGAATGAAAACATAGATCTGAATACAGAAATAATTCAGATCGAAGCCATAGACAGAGATTTAGGGACTAATGGGGAAGTGCGGTATTCATTTCTTACAGATACAGATAAGTTTTCTATAGACACTGTGACAGGTATTGTGAAGGTGGTGGGGCCCTTGGATCGTGAAGATCGAGCTGTGCATTTCCTGAGAATAGAGGCTAGGGACCAGTCTAAAGAAGAACTGCAATTGTCTTCAACTGTACTGCTGAAGATATCTTTAGAAGATGTCAATGATAACCCTCCTAAATTTTTCCCACCTAACTACCATGTAAAAATTCGAGAAGACCTTCCAGAAGGTACAATTGTGACATGGCTGGAAGCCTATGATCCTGATTTAGGCCAGTCAAGCCAAGTGCGATACAGCCTTTTAGATGGCGGGGATGGAAGCTTTGATGTAGATAAACTTAGTGGTGCAGTCCGCATTGTACAAGGGCTGGATTTCGAAAGGAAGCAAGTCTACAATCTAACAGTACGAGCCAGAGACAAAGGAAAACCAATTTCATTGACTTCCACTTGTTACGTTGAGATTGAAGTGATCGATGTAAATGAGAATCTTCATCCTCCACATTTTCCTAGCTTTGTGGATAAAGGTTTTGTAAATGAAGATGTTCCACTTGGTACTTTAGTGATGACTGTCTCTGCTTATGATGAGGATGCAGGAAGAGATGGTGAAATCAGATACTCAATAAGGGATGGATCTGGCATTGGAGTTTTCAAAATAGATGAAGAAAAAGGTAAGAATTTGTTCAGTTACTTTGTTCATAAATTACCACTTACTTGGTTCACAATACATGAAATCTAAGTAGACTCTAAAGTCCTATTTTCAGTAAAGAGAGAGAGAGGTGGTGAGATGAGATACAGAATAAAGCACAATAAAACAACTTGTAGAAATCCATGATGTAACACCCCGCCCCTCGCATCAAAGAAAAAAAAAGTCATTGAATAAGTGAACCCAGATCATAAGTCATGGATATTGGAAAGCATTGGTTTTAACAGAAGTATTGCCACAGAAAAAGCTTCTTGTTATTTCTGTAGAGTGGTGGAAGTTGGTCTCTTGTTTATATTTAAGTAAAAAGATGAGACATGAATTTCTGAAATGTGTCATGTTGGTTGAACCTGTTATTATTAGAGATTGATAGGTTGTTACAGAAAGCAAACTTTCCCAAGCCTGTACAGGAAGTTCCAGCCTCGCTCAAGAGCCAAAGTCACTACTTTCTTATTTCCATATCTCAAGATATTTAGTGTCTGTCCACAGGAAGGAAATATTCTTGGACTACGTCAGGGCTTGGTTTGGGTTATTGAGCAGAGGATATAAGAACTACACCAGAGTGGACTGATTTAAATCAAGGGAATAGAAATCAGTTATAGATGTCAATTTTTTAAATCATAAATAAAATGATTAAGTTCAAACTACTAACTTAAATCAAAATTTGTCATTATTCAGATAGCTTACTAAATAAAATGAACACCAGATTGTTATACTGTGTCATTACTTAATATCTGAAAGAGCTTTCATAGAGCCCCAGAGCAGGGGTGGCTCGTGGTGGATGGTGGAGGTCACTCCCAGGATTTCAAAGTGAGGTGCCACCTTTCCCCCTCCATGCCATAAGTTGCCTGCAGGGTAGATAAAAGTCAATGATTTTTTCCCCTTAAAAATATTGATTTTAATAATCTTTTTAAAAATTTAAATAATGTTGATTTAAATCAAATCCACCCCTGTTGCCTGTTTCCCAAAGGATACACTATGGGAGCATCCTCTTCACTGTTTTACGTGTACATGGAGCTTCAACTACTACTTCAACAGTTATCTGAAAAGATACCAGTTTTGTGTGACCAGGCACATAGCTGGCAATTCGTCAGATTCCTATTGCAGCTTTGGCAGTTCGAATTCTATGTGCATGAATATTCAACAGGGGACCAGATTGTGTGTCTTAAATAAAGAAAAATGATATACAATCCACTATTGTTAGATACTTTAATGCTGATAATTGTGTCAGGTTGCAACCAAATTGCTTATGTCAGATGTACAGTATAAGAACTGTATGGGTGGGGTGAGGAGGAGTTACGAATCCTTCCCCTGAGAGAGAAGCAAAATAAATGAGAAGGAAGGGGAGACGGTAGTTAAAGGTAAATGTCCATGTTGTTCAATAAATAGTCATAAATACTTCTTGATTAAGTGCAAAGATCAGATCATCGACCTAAGATAAGCAGGAAACATTTACTCAGAAGAATAACCCATTATGATTTGCCAGTTCAACTTCCTCAGCATCAAACCATGATAACCAGATGCATATGTAATATAATAATAATAATAATAATAATAATAATGTGCCAACAAGTCACTTCTGACTTATGACAAGTCTTTCTAGGTATACTCAGACGTAGTTCACCATTCACTACTTCTGGAGGTTCTCTGGCACTGTGGAGCTTGCCCAAGGCTACACAGGCTGGCCCTCCTCCTAGGAGGCACAATGGAGGTTCAAACTTGACCTCTGGTTCTACAGCCAGATGCCTAACTCATTGAGTTGTACCTGGAAAAACCTGAAAATGGTCACTTTAAATTGAAATGCATAAGTACATAACTAAATATGCTGTGTTATGTTTGGCAAAGGTGTTTCCAAAGTAGTAGTTGATCTTCTTTCTTTTTCCTCCAAGAAAATAATTCTTTCATGAGAGAGTTGCAGATTCAATTTTCAGGGATTATTGTTTAAAGCCTAATTTTCATTAGTACAAAATGCAAGGAGAAGGGGCTCAATAAATTCCATTGACAACCCCTCCCCCCAATGTTTCCATTGTCATTTCTAAGGGTTCACGAACTATTCTGGTAGTTGCAAAGGGATGTGAGACAAAAGGTTTGTTTGGGTGTTTTCAATTTTGTTGTTGTTGTTGAAGGTAGCTAATACCAAGACCAGTTTGTTTGCATTTGGGTGTTTTCAATTTCGTTGTTGTTGTTGTTGAAGGGAGCTAATACCAAGACCAGTTTGTTTGCATTAAGCTGAACACAGCCAGCTGTTACCCAAACCTCTCTATGCAGACAAAGCAGAACTGTAACAAGCCATGTGAAGCACTTTGCCTTTGGTAAGCAAAGTGAGGGAACAGAAAAAAAAAACGTGTAAAATAATATCTAAGTCCAGTATACCATGTGGAAAAGGTTGCATTGCATAAGGCTTTTTCACTGGCTCCCTGCCCGTATCAGCTCACCATTCTTGAAGGGGAGCCACTAGTACCTTCCCTCACCATCATAATTTTCTATGCCATGGAAGTGCAGGGAAAACATTCTTACTTGCCTATGGACTCTACATGCAAGCATGTAACTCCGCACCAGATCCTAGTTTCCATGTAGCACCTACATGTGAGCAGGAATGTTACTACAGATCTGTCACTTCCCACATGTGGAAAGTGAGGACAGAGAAGAAATAGGCTAATTGCTGCCCTCTAAATGGGGGGCTGATCCTGGGAGAGAACAATTGTATGTGGCTTATACAGTAAATTGAAATTGAATCAAGTGTTGTTCTGACTTTCAGACTTCATGCAGTACTGTGTATGATTGTGGTTCTATGGTGTTTGTTTTCCCCATATTCTCTACTGATGCTGAAAAATGGCAAAGAGTTAGAACATGGAGCTCTCTGAGTAAAGTTTTACATTCTTGTCTCATACAAAATTGGCTGGTTAATGGGCTCTGACATGATAGTATTCAACCCTTACGCACCAGGACATTTTAGTCTCTCAGAGACATGTTTTGTTGCAGAATTCACACAGAACTAAATCTACATGTTACATGTGACATGCTATCCTGAAAGTTACATACAATGTTCTTGGGTTTCAGACACTTTGACTGTAAGTTAAAAGGAAGTAAGCAAGCAAGCCGGAATAAAAATTGTCCAGATGAGCATATTGAGGTGCCCCCCCTTTTTTTAGGATAGTCTTCTGTCTCAGGCAATGAAATGTATTGTGGCAAAATACTGTAGTCTACATTGTTCATAAGACGATCACTCTTCTGCAAAGCTAGAGTGACATATTCTAGTTGCACTGCTTCCAGTATGTGGACCAGTTGCATCAGATGGATGGAATCACATTGCCTTGTGTAGATTCTCAACACACTGAGATGTGTGTCCTCAGGACTACTGGCATCATATCAAAAGCCAGCTTGTTGGGATATATTGAGATTTGGGTCAGGAAAACGCTCAATGTCTTAAATAGCTGGAACGCCCATTCTGTAACAGATAAGCTAGGTCTTCATACACTGGTCTAGTAAGATTTTAACAAGATTAGGTGTGTTACATTTCTTCACTAATACCCATAAGAAACCTACAGAGCCAGGCTGATTACCAACTGCAGGCCATTGATTCAGCACAGATCCAGATGGCTTGCTTAGCCAGATTGTGTTAATGCAGGTAGGATCATGAGGAATCATTTGAGTGATTTCAGTCTGTGATGTGAAAATCTTGGCAAGAACATTGTTTGCTGTATCTTTTTTTTTAAAGTTTGGATTAGATCATGTGGAGGTTTTTGTCTATAGTCAGTACTTGCCTTGTAAGGAATAAACTCTTCCTAATTTCTTATTTAAAATAGAAAATTATGTCTGGTGCTATCATTAACTAGATAATTGTATACATTTTTGAGGTGTTCTATAGGTTCTTGTACCACCTGTATAATAGTATTTAAAATCCGCTATTACTGTGACAAAACAGTTCAAGATCTTTTAATTAAACTTTTGCAGATTATAGCTTTCAAATTATATAATTCATGCTTTATAAAATATTTGTATCAAGACTAAAGCAGGATAAAAAACCTTCATGACATACGTAAAGTGAATTGTTTCATGAGAAAACTCACTTTACTAGCAGATCATGGAGAATTTGTAGGATTTTCTAAGCTGTGTCTGTGCATATGGGTGTGTACAAAGATATGTACGTATATAAAGGTGGGTGTGTGTGTGTGTGTGTGTGTGTGTGTGTGTGTGTGTGTGTGTGTGTGTGTGTGTGTGTGTGTGTGTGTGTAAACAGTAGTAAAATTGGTTTCCTGCTCAGCTCAGAACTTATTGAAGATAGGTTTTCATTAAAATTTGGGGTAATCTTCAGCATTTTTTTTTTGCTGGCCTTGACACCTGCCTTGACAGCAATGGTCCTACCACTAGCTTACCTTGTTGATCTTCCATAATGTCCACTTAGAGTGAAACTGACTAATCGAATTAGATTATCCAGAGAGGAAATTTTAAAAGATAACTTTATGAAGATATGACATCCCCTGTTGAAATCTGAAGTGTGATCAAAATTTAAAGTAAACCAAGAGGATAATGGGTTGAACTGCTGGTTATATTAAGTGACATTAGCTAGGCATAAAAATGCAATAATGAGCCAAGGAAGAGACTATGTGAAAAGATAAAGAGATAATGTATGTATGAAGGGGTAGGAGTTTATGAATAAGAAATTTACTATTGTAATACAATAGGTATTGTTCCGTTATCCTGTTTTGAATGGATGTAAGGAATAAATAAAATGAAGGAAAGAAAGGAAGAAAAGAATGCCCCCTTAGAATAATGTGACGTGGAACCAGCCATGAAAATTGCAGTCCATGCTTTGCATGGGACATAGCAATTCTAACTGAACACAGTAGGATTTCATTTGCAATAAAGATGTATAAGCTTAAGAAATAAAAAAGGGCAAAGAAAACATTGGTTATTAAACCATTTGTCGTTGCCTTGGAAATTCTCATATTAATTCAAAGTTAAAGA